ACCTTAAGCCCTAAATAGCCCCAAACCCTTAAACCCGTATAGAACCCTATGGATCCCTTCAAGGAACCCCGTAACGAAACCCCTAAAGCCTAAACCCCTATACACCTACACACCTAAGCCCTAATCCTCAACCCTAAATACCCCAAATACCTTAAACCCTAAACACCCTAAATACCCTAAACCAGAAATACCCGAAATACCCTCAACCTGTCATCGACGAGGGCCTCCCAGAGTCGCACCCAGTCAATGGTGCCCGCTTCGCGGGAAAGATGCTTCTCCTTGCTTGCTTGGAGGATCAGGGAACTTAGTAGCTTAGTAAGTTGGCTTGTAGGTACCATAATTGGGGGTATAGGTATCATAAGTTTAGCTAATTACCTTACCCATAACTCATAACCCTAGTTACTAAGTCCCATGATCCTTTAATATCAAGTCAGGCTTCTGTAAGGGTTCAAGGGTTTAGAATTTCGCGCTTGAAGGTTTAGGACTTGAGGATGTAATTGAGGGGTTGGAGTTTGCTACTGGTCCGAGCTACAGGATTGAAGGTCTGAAGGTCTGGGATTTCAGGCTGTAGGGTTCAATCGTATCAATCATTTAGGGTTTCAGGTCCAGGGCTCTAGTTCCTCTCTTTGTTGGGTATAGCCGCGTTCATAGAAGGGGGACTCTGAGGGATACCGCATCTGAATATTCAGACCCCTATATCGCGGTGGTTGAACTACCCTGGTTGACCCAGCTGACTGCTGCTCCTTTGCGATTAGATCTACTGTCGAGGACTGCGTTCGTCCTTCTAGACGAAACCAACTCAACTGGACCGGTGGCTTCCAATCTGAGTAGGAGCTGCTGCACGCACGAATGCGAACGAAGATGCACCCAGTTCCAATATGCGAATCAAACTAATTAAACTATTCAAAGACAAATACAACCATCACCATGCATCTCTCTCCCTCTCTCTCTCTCTCTCTCTCTCGCTCTCTCTCTCTGTCTCTCTCTCTCTCTCTCTCTCTCTCTCTCTCTCTATGTTTGTATATATACACACATGCAAATGTACGCATGCATGTACGTGTGTACAAATGTGCGTATGTATGTATGTATGTATGTAAGTGGGTAGGTAGGTCCGTAGGTAGGTATGTGTTCCCAGATGTTTATGTATAATCATACATGTCTATGTATATGGCCACCCCCCAAGATCCACACCCGCCTTTCCACACAATTCCACAGGTTGCTTCTCTACATTGGTCGACAACTCATATTTACCGAGAACACCGTAAATACCGATACAATCGTGCTTTACCTCATGTGCATGCAAACCGTGCTGCTGCAAGGCGTGGGTTTGATATGTGTAAAAATCTGGCGCCGAATCTCGGCCGCAGATTTATGGTAGTTTATGTGTTGGATAAGCTGTGATGCTGGACGGCGGGCTAGTTTTGTTCATGTACTACTAAAAGACTTCATGTTGTTTGCATTTTACGGTGTGTTGTCTAACAGCATTCCTCTTATAATGAAAACACTATTGTCTCTCTTACGAAGGCGTCTGTGTGCGTGGGCCATCTCTTTCCCGCTGCTCGTGAAGCGTCCGATTCTGATGCGGCCTAATCGCTCTAGCATTCGATTTATGAGTTACGAAATACAAAGACCTCCTTTCATGTCCTGTCCATTATACATGTAAGGAAGTCGAATATACGGGCGCGTTTATTTTAAAACCAATACTCCAATAGTTGTTCTTTGCCTCATAAGAAACGGGAAAGCTCCCCTGGAGTTGAAAAGCTCATGTGCATATGCGGGCGCACAAGAAGGCTCGTCTGCAGCAAGAAGTAAGAGAGCTCTTGCAACCTTCCAAACATGAAGCAGGACTAATTACGACTGGCTGCATTGATACGTATCAATCCGAAGGCAGGGGCTCCTTAACCTTGTAAAACAAGGTAAGGTGGCACTTCATGGAAGAAAACTCCTCTTAATATTGTGAGTCGATATGTGACAAATATTAAAGGCAGCCATGTGCATAGCAATCACTATCTATTTTTGAAGATACTAATTTGGACCATCCTCATACATATTAAGCAAGAGACATAAAGACTCTTGCTAATCCAAAAGAAAAGTATACGATGTCACCTGTAATTTTGGAAGACTGAAGAGAGCTCCTTTTCATGTTGTGATACGAACTATGACAGCGTCTAAACCGCAGTCATAGACAAAGGTCAGGATGTGAGGGAGGTGGCTTCAATAGAAACCGATAGAAGTCTCACGCGTTTTGCCCGTTGAATAAAAGATACCAGTAAACAAGCTTTCTTTTGTCTGCTGATCAAATCTAGGAAGTGTCGCTTGAAGATTGAAGAGAGCTACTTCTTTTGCGTTACGTTCTATGACAGCAATTAGAGAAACAGCCATGGACATAGCGATCCGTATCTTCTCCGGGGTATAGGACAGCATAAATAAGAGTTAACTGAAAGAAAATTCATGTCTCGTAGGAAACCGAATAGGAAGTCTCCATTGTTTCTGATGATAGCAAAATGCAAACAGTTTCCTACCGTCTTCAATATGAAATAAAATAAGTTCTAGATAGGCTTGCGCTGCTCTAGCACCTAAGCTGCATTCATTGTTACAGTGTTGGATCTGTAGGCGGTGCAGCTCGCCGAAGAAGGGCCAAAACCATATTCGAGAAAGCTCTGGTACCAGAGCCAGTGCTGCTGGCGCCATAGATCTACCAACCTCCGAAAACATACATGAAATAAACTATGTAACGACTAGGCTGGCCTTGTTCATACTTATCAAACCAGAGTAATCAAAACCGTTGCTGTTCCAGAAGTCACATAAAATAGTACTTCCAGTCCTTGACAACGGTTGGAAGCACACAATTATCTTGTGATACAGTATATCAGTATATCCTGTCCTGCACATCAGAAAACACTGTAATGCTCGAAAAATTCCAAAATTTCCAAACCTGAAACTCACGAAACACTGTAATGCTCAAAAAAAACCAACATTCTGGCATCTATGATCAGGTCAGGGGCAGACTCCTTAAAAGTTTGGATTCTTTTGAGCATTACAGTGTTTTGTGAGTTTTAAACCACGAAACACTGCTATGCTCAAACAAAGTGAGCTTTGAGGCTGTGAAAAGTGGATGTTTTTTGAGCATTACAGTGTTTTGTGATGTTCAGGCCACGAAACACTGTAATGCTCAAAAAACTCAACTTTTTACAGCCTCCAAGCTCACGAAACGCTGTAATGCAAAAAAAACTCCAAAATTTTAAAGAATTTGCCCTCGGCCTGGCCATAAATGCCAGAATTTTGGAACTTTTGGAATGTTTTGAGCATTGCAATGTTTCGTGAGTTCTGGGCTTGGAAATTTTGGAATTTTCTGAGCATTACAGTGTTTCGTGCGCCCCATGCCCCAAGAACCGCGGTGGCGTGGATCTTTGGGAGGGGGGGCGAGCATGTAATATGTATATGTATATATATATATATATATATATATATATACTAATATATATATATATATTTATATTAATATATGTATATACATATATATATATATATATACTAATATATATATATATATATATATATATATTGATATATGATAATATATATATTATTATATATATATACATATATTTATTTATTTATATTTATATTTATATTTATATGTATATATATATATATATATATTTATACTATATTATATTATATTATATTATATTATATTATATTATATTATATTATATTGTCTTGTATTGTATTATATTATATTATATTATAATATACTATATTATATTATGTTATATTATATTATATTATATTATATTATATCATATTATATTATATTATATTATATCTTATTATATTATATTATATTATATTATATCATATTATATTATATTATATTATATTATATTATATTATATTATATTATATATATACATACATATACATCCATGCAGGCATGTATGTAAGCATGTAAGTAAGTACGTGCGTATGTATTTCTGTATGTACATATATCTACGCAAATATTCCGCATTCTCCATGGTGTAGAAGAGGATAGTGCTCTTCCTCCAAAAAAGGGTCGAGGCAGAACCTCAAGCGTGGCTATTAACAGACCACCAGCAGAAGAGGGTCTTCAAAAACCCTCTTCTGGTTTTAGACGCCCTTGCCTTTAAGACTTTAAGACTCGAAGACTTACTAAGAGATCACCTTGATGAACCAGGGTGCAGAACAAGTTGAGACTTTCACTGCGAAGGTTTGAAACAGCAGGTGTCCAAACTCACGGCACCCGCTCGAAAATCCCATAGGAACGGAATCGAAATCCTATAAACCACATGGGACTCTGTTTTCTGTGCGTCCTCCAGGTACTTCTTGAAGTAGGACAGCGCGTAAGTATCGCCCTGCAGCCGTCTTGTCCCAACATCCGAATGCGATGTCTGAAAATCAAACATGCTCTGTGCGTTGATCTTATTTCTATGTTCCGGGGAACCACCCGAAACGACACCACAACACATACCCTGCAGGCTTTTGCAGGTTATCTTGGCTTGAGTCTAGCAAGTTCCTGATTCCATGCCACCATGCATGAGCCTGGCTGCAGGACCAAGGGCTCCTCAGACATTGTGGGCAGCAGAGCTAATGCGGTTGTTGCGGTGACTACGATCAACATGAGCCTGTGATGATGTCGTTGTTGTTCCTCACCCCAGTCGCCACCGCAATCACCACTGCCACCACTGCTGAGCACCAGCACCAGACACCATCACCAGACCCAGAAGCAGACCAGGCAACAGCAATGGCAACGACAATAACAACAGCGCAAGCAGATGAGAAGATCCCCGAATCAACCATCACCAGATCAGACACAAGGCCAAAGTTGTTGCCTGCTTCTGCTACTGCCTCTGCGACTGCTTTCGCTGTCCATAAGCACTATCACTAAGCTTTAGAGACAAATCGCCTGTCTGCACCTTCGACAAAACACACACACACACACACCCCAACCCCTCAGCCAAACCATCAATGCCACACGGTCAACAAAAGATCAGGCAGGCCTGCACATGGCCAAGGATGAAGGTGGCTCTGACCTGCGCGGTCGGGACAGGCGTGCTATGTACTCGTAGACCCTAGCGCGTATGTACAGTGCACAGTAACAGTATCTATCATGCTAAAGCATGGGAAGTTCGATTGTTGGCTACGCTCTCTTTGGAAACATACATGCTTGAGGGCTGTGACTTGAGATTTATCGGTGTTCAACATGGCTGCGAAGCAGACCTGCGAAGGTGCAACACTTGCGTGGCATTCAAGGTCCTTTGGGGACTGCCCCTGATTCGCCTATGTACTCCTTGACCCTACAAGCACTCAATCCGATCAGGCTTGCATATCGAAATTGATGACTCCTTGGTTCCATGTCAGCGTGGCATTGTTGCGATGCATACAAGCTTAATGTATGTATTTATGCATGCATTCATCTATATATATATATATGTATGTATGTATGTATGTCTGTATGTATGTATATATATATACACACATACATATATATATATATATATATATATATATATGTACGTATGACTAATATAGTATATGACAACACATACCTTTTTGCTCGCTTGTTGGAGGAGACGCCGAACCGACGCGCAGAACCAGCGGAGCCGGCCTTGAGCCAACCAACCAGGTGTAGTTGGAAAGCTGTGTCGAAGACCTTGAGCATGCAACGGGAGACACTTCAAGAGGTTGACGCGCAAATGTTGGGTTTTTTGCTTGAGCCATCTTTTCCTTCTGCTTAGGATTGGGTGGGCTTAGGGTTTAGGGCTTAGGGTTTAGGGACCAAATGCCAGGCTGGATGTTGGTGTCTAACACGATTGCCGAACGGAGGGTGTGGCGTGTCTGGCCGCACATTTTAGGCCCTGAAAGCTTAGCCATGACATACGATTCATGGTTGTCAACTTCAGAAACCGCAGAGGGCACTGAGTGGCGATTGATCAGAAGCCGCCATAATCTTGCGGCCCCTAAAACCTAAACCCCAAACCCGAAAACCCTAAACCCCGAAACCCTAAACCCTCTGATGTCTATCGCTGTCTCCCAGCAAACATCTGGACATTGGGATCTTTACATCGCTCTGGCCCTTCCTGTGCTCCTTCGTTCTCTCAGTCTCAGTCTCAGTCTCTCTCTCTCTCTCTCTCTGTCTCTCTCTCTCTCGCTCTCTCTTTCGTCTCTGTGTCTCTCTCTCTCTCTCTTTCGCTCTTTATCCCTTGCTTACTTTCTCGCACCCTCTCTCTCTCTCTCTCTGTGACATGACCAAGAGCTTACAATCGGCCTGCCCGTCTGAGCCTCGTCCTCGGCGACCACAAGAGCGAGTACTAAAGCCGCAAACCCTAAACCAGTAAACATGCTTAAATCCCCTCCCAAAGCACTTCAGGGAGCAGTTGAGGAGCAAGAAGCGCGCCTCCTTTTCTGCCATGTAGCCCTTGTCGTGAAAAATCCCTTTCACCTCGACCAGCCGGAAATTTGAGGAGCGGGATATCGCGAGTCTCACGATGCTGTTTACAAACGTTTGGGTCCCTGTTGGTCTTTGTATCGGCTCCATCCGATTGTGCATACGGCGGTAACTGCCAGGAAGTCAAACGGTTTCGGGTTAAGGGTTTCGGGAAGTTATGAGTTTACATAACTTGAATAACATTTTGTGGTACCTGGAGTAGGTAGGCTCCAAGGGTGTGTCTTACATGGCTGCTTATGCAACTCTTTATATGGCTCAAAATGTGGGGGGTCTTGTTTCGGGGTTCTTCCCCCAAAACGGAGCCACCGAAGCTCATAAGGGGTAGGGGGTAGCGGACTCTACATTCTTAAACAAGCCTGGTTACACCCCTATCGCGTCGTAATAGGCGTAATAAGGCCCCCTTACCCCCTCCCCCTTACCCTAAACCCTAAACCCTAAACCCTAAACCCTATGAGGGGCCCTATGGTCCAGGCTAAAGCAACAGCCCCGCTCCAGGCGCGAAAGCTTTCTTCACGGTTCTGGGTCTCGCGGATGGTATCCGACATTCCCGAATCCTGTGCTTGCCTATAGTCTCCATTGTAATTCCTTTTTGTTGGTTAACCAGAATCTCTATTATAGGATCCTAACCATAAAACTGGCTAACCAAAAAAGGAACTGCAATGGAGACTATAGGTGGCATGTTTCAATACATCAACGCATGTACATCGGTGGTTGTCGAAATTATGGTCCCTTTTGGGTGTGCCGAATATAATACGGCACGTACTATTTAGGTTACCAAACAAGGGACCCCGATTTTGACAACTACCCACATGTCTGGGTTTCACCTACCGAAGCTGCTGCGTTGCAGACCTCAAACCTTCCGTGGTGAAGAAAACATCAACATCTCCCGAACAGCCCAAACCCCCAGGCCCCAGGCCCTCACCCTCAGCTAAAAACATAAACACCCAAAAACATACCCTGACCCTAATCCCTTAAGTCCTAAACCCTAAAACCCTAAACCCTTTTGACCTCAAGTCTAGAAGTCTCAAGACTACTTGTCTCCCACGCCTCAAACTGGAACTTGCTCTTGAGCTCGTGAAGGTTGTCCTGGTTGTAGTCGTCGGAATTCCGACTCACCTGAATTCCCGAGCCGGCGTGGGATGACGGGCACAGGACTCGTAGTCAGGGTGAGGCGTAGAGTCGGAGATTTAGGTGCTGTACAGTGCTTGGGGTTTAAGGTTGAGCGGTTTGAGGCTGGCGGGCTCAGAGTTACGGGTGTGAGCTTCTTCACCGCGCCAGACCAGAGGGAGATGTAACGACACAATGGGCGAAATAAAGAGCAACCAGTGCTTTATGCAGGGTCTGGAGTCATTCGAGATCTAAGCAGCACTTACACAACTGCGGGTAAGGGCTCGGCAAATGAAGAGACTAAGACTTAAGGGTCAAGCTTCAGGTCTCAAAATGCACCTTCATTATGGGTCTGGGGCGAATGAACCGAAGACGGCTTAGCGTTGAATGGTTAGGGTCCGGGGCTTTAGCTAAGACTGAAAACCCCAACTCTACAAGTTAATTAAGACACTTTCGAGTCTTCGTGGGTGCACTGCTTGACGACGCTGTCGTGAACAAGTTGCAGGGCGAAGAATCGCTGAGAGATAGGGTTTCGGGTTTGCGGGTACTGCTCAGCTCAGGATTTAGGGTTAGGGTTTGGGGGCAGGGCTTAGGGTATATTTTGATGTGGAGAAAAATTACTCTGGGAAGAGCCATTTTTCAGGGTTTATAGGGCCTATAGGGTTTACGAGTACCTCATGGGCCGTGCCTCGACATTCAAGAATGGATCTTAAGACGCACTTCCTCTGACCCGAGCCACGGAGTTGATAATCCTGCAACCTCTCAAGTGGAAGTGTTAGGATTTTAAGAGGTTCCTTGAAGGGGTCCATGCAGTTGGGCCATGATTATCCTCATCGTAGCCTTTAACAAGAATAGGGTTCTGGTCATTGCGGTGAAAACATGCAAGGACGAACATAAGGGGATACTAGGACAAAGTATCATTATTCCGACCTGCATCTACCCCAAGAAAGGCCCAGACCACTTTGATCCAATCCAGCCCAAAGCACCACGCAATCAGCCAAGGCACTATTCGGGGCTGCGGTGGTGGCCTCCATTTCTTCTGCGATGCTGGGGTGAGACCTGGCCATGCCCCATGAGCAAATTCTGCGAACCAAGCACCCAGACCTTCCAAAATCCCTTAATTAAGGAATATACCTTAAATTATGAAAGGATCCCTAGTATGATTTAAGGTATATTCCTTAACTAAATGATTTTGGAAGGTCTGGGCAGATGATATATGAGGAAGTTTCCGAAAATTAGGAGTACCGTATTTTGGGGTTCCTATAATCAGGATCCTACTATTTCGGGTACTTTATTGGGGTCCCCTGCTTTCGGAAACTCCCATATATGTGGGTGGTTATCAAAATTATGGTCCTTTTTTGGGTACCCTAAACATTAAATATTAGGTGCCGTACTATATTAGGGACCCCAAAAGGGGACCAGACCACAATTTTGACAACCACCCACCCATGTGTGCTATGTGTGTGTGTGTGTGTTGAAAATTGCAATCTTTCGTCAGGGGCTTATGAGATCTTTGCCTTTTCCAGGGCTGTTGGAAGGCGTGACGACCCGCGACCTCTATCCCAGAGCCCTTGTAAGGTCGCCGCCTATGTCCATTAATTCGGAACAGGAGATAATCCACAAACAGGGCTGCGTCAACCCTAAAACTTAACCTATATCCTCAGCCCAAAACCCTAAATCATCAGTGCTAAGCCAAAGCCTGAAAAGGCAGAACCAAAGCGATTGAGAACCAAGAGTCGAAAGGGGCCTTAATAATTAGAATAGGGTTAGAATGGGGTTTCGGGGCCCGTTATACTATCACATTAAAAAGGACCCCCCCCAAAATAGTATATTCATTCCGGCGGTGCACCAACATAGTATAGGTAAATATCTAGGCCTCTATTTCATGGGCTTGTTGGGATCTTTATGACCAGAGCAAAGTCCAAGTTGCCGGATGTTTGACAACATCGAATCTGGTATGACTGTAGGTTTACCTACAAACTCCATATGGGTGGTTGTCAAAATTATGGTCCCTTGTTGGGTCGCTGAATATAGTACGGCACCGACTTTAGGGTACCCCAAAAGGGACCCTAATTTTGACAACCACTCATATGGGCGGTTAAAAGGAGTCCTTCGAAGAACTATTGCGACGTCTAAACTACATTTTCAAGCTGTAAATGCTCTAGACCCAAATTTGCGGAATCTCGCAGGGCATCTGGCTTTCTGACCTGTTGTTGCGAAACCCTAGGTTCGGCATATGAGGCGTCAAGGGATACCTTTAACGGCTCGTGGAAGGTGGTCCTTTAAAGGATACTACAAGATCCCTTGCAGGGATAACCTTCATGCCCTACACAACCCTAGACCCTATAACCCTCAACCCTATAAACCGCAAATTGTGGATATGCCCCGCGGGCCTAGAGTTCAACTCTGATTCGTATTCAAACCACCCAGACCTTCCAAAACCCCTTAATTAAGGAATATACCTTAAATCATACTAGGGATCCTATTATAATTTAAGGTATATTCCTTCATTAAGGGATCTTGGAAGGTCTGGGCAGAGCCTGGGAGCTGGTCTGAGTCCTACGTATAAGCGTCCAAAGGACCCTATAATTAGGGTTTAGGGTTCCTTAAAAGGGTCTATAAGGGGCTACTATAAGGGCTCTAGAACATAGGGGCCTAATAGTTAGGTACTCGGGTTTATGATCGTAGTGTTGTAGGTTACTGTTTTGGAGAGTATGTGCTAATTAAGTACTTAGACCATCGTGGTACCACAAGGCCTTAATCATTAGTAAAAGGGTTCGGGGTGTGTTGTAGTATAGTTACTTCTTCTAAGGAGCCCGAAGGAAGAAAATGGGCAACCATTCAGGCTTTCTTTTCTACACCCTCAGATGTGTTCAGGGTTTAGTGTCTGAATCCTTAAATCTAAACCCCGAGCCCTAAACCCTAAACCCTAAACCCCAAACCCTACACAGGCACGAGAAACGGTTGGCTGGATCGAAGGGCTTCTCGAACTGCGGATACCCTCGCCTCCGCGGAGGGATACTTGGAGGATCAGGGGACTTAGTAAGACTTAGTAAGTCAGGTTATAAGTACCTTAGCTCTTAGTTCGAGTTATGAGTGATTCTAAGCATAGATACCTTAATTATATCCCTAGTCACTAAGTCCCATGGCCCTTTTAAGTATGGAGGTCTGAAGATGTAAGAAAGGCATAGAAAGGGGTTTGGAACTAATCCCTTATACCTCTATAGAACCAAACTGTAAAGACTATTATTTCAACGAGCGAGACTTTCTGGCATCGGAGGTTTCTACTTTGGCGTTTGTAGGACCGATACAATGGTAAACTAGTATTGTAGGGCTTCAGGATTAGGGCCTGGGGTTCACGGTTTGGGTGGGTTCTTTGCTTTTAGGTTTTACGGCTGTTGGGTTTGACAGTTACATGCCTGGGCTTTCTATTCAGGCGCCTATCAGGGGATCTAGAAAAGTTCTCTACTCCAATAATGTCCATCCTTGACAGCCTCAAGCCCTCAGCTAAATCCTTTTCGCCAGTTCAATCCCAACATCAACATTGAAGAAAGTTCGTTTGAGGGTTCTGTTGAGGGTTCTCTGAGGAGACCATTCGGGCTCTTGAAACATCTTTGGGGGTGCGGCTAAAGCTTCTATATGGGCACTGTAAGGGTTCTAGAAGGTTCATGGAAGAGCCCCAAAATGGCTGAGTCTTCATGTAGACAGGTATACGCAATCTTTCGATTTGAGGCTCTTACTGGGCTAATTGGCTAGCTGCTTCCTCAGAGTTCATCCTACACAATAGTTGCCCCGAAAACATTCGCTCCAGGCCCCAAGCGTCGAGTATGCGGTGTCAGGTTTAGGGCTTAGGGTTCCGAAAAGCTCCCATTGTAGAGCTGAAGCACCAAAGGGCGAAGTGTAGCAGTGTAGCGGCATTGAAAAATCCGAGTTCGTTCTCAAACCCTGACTAGACCCAAGAGTAACCTAGGAAGAAAAAGGGTGCCCTTTTTGGTTTAAAGGGGGGTTATAAGGGAACCTAAACCCTTAAAAAGGGAATAAGGGCCTACTCTGGGTCCTAGCTGAAGGTTCTTAACCCTAAACCCTAAACCCTAAACCCGGTTCTTAACCCAGTAAAGCTCCTAACTCACATCCCCTGGGTCGCGGGCACGAAGGTCGGATGAAGCTTCGGCCTGGCATTGAGGCTTTAAAAAAAAGGTTTAGGGTTTAGGGCCTTATGGGGCCTTAATAAGTACCAATACTATTTTGGGGGTTCCTTATTATGCTTATAGTGAAGCTTATACAGGTCTTACAGCGTTGAACCCCGGGCTTTGAGGTTGTTATACCCGAAACTTGGAGGATTAGGGGACTTTGCTTATAAGTACCTTAAGAGGGGACATAGGTAATTCTAAGTTATAAGTATAGCTACCTTTCCTATAGCCCGAATTACGAAGTCCCATGATCCCTTCAATACCCTATCCGCCTGGGATTTTGAAGGGCTTTTTCGGTCTTACGGCCTTAAGCCTTCAGTGTGAGGCTCCGGTTTGGGGCTGCAGGTTCGGATCTTTAAGGGTGGGGTTGAGGGTTTAGGGCAAACTTAGATGGTCACACGTTCATGTCTGGCCGCGTGGCGGCGGGCCTGTATGCTCTAGATTCTAGGGCATACACGGCAAATGCTGCAAATTACATGACTTGGTGCGTGTGGCTGTCGAAATGGTGGGAGTCGTGCTTCAGGAAATCCAGGAACTCAAGCTTAGGGCTCATCCGCGACATCGGCTTTGGGATCCTACTGCGAGCACCAGACTCAGCTGCCGATGTATTGAAAGAGACGCACGTTGAAGGCCAGATATGCGCGTGGGTCTGGGCTTCAAGGGACTCGAAATACGCTGTTTAGGCTTTCGGTGACTCCGGTGTGAAGTATCAAAAGGCTTCAGGGTTGCATACATGCTGTAACCAAAGAGCCATGCTGAGCCCCACGCAACTGACCAAAGGAACTCTCAAGTCGCATTAATCCGGAGCCATTGCCTGTCTAGATCAAGGGTCTTAACTTAAGAATTAGAATGAGGTTTTGAAGATACCCTACTATACTTATATGGAGCCCTACGGAATAATGCTACTTTGGTTCAAGCTCCTATTTCCACGTTGTCCGAGCCGCCTGGAACTCCATGAAAACCTCCAAAGACACCCCTGCAGCAGCTGCCGCGGATGCGCCCCACCGTGGAACTCGAGCGAGACGCTCGGCGATGCTTGCTCCGAATGCACTTCTCTGCCAGTCTGTTCTCCTCCGCATTTTTGAAACCCACCTTCTTGCACACTCAAAACTGTTCTACCGTCTTGCTCTTGGCCGTGTCCGGGTCCATGCCGTACGAGAGATCTCACGCGCATTATCGGCGCACTTATGCAGCACACACAAACCCATCCTTGGGAGCGAAATTGTAAATGGCCCTGAAAAGCTGGGGGGCCTCCTACCCCCATACCATGCATCCCTGTACATGGTACCTGAATCTTAACCTTAAACCCTGTCGGGATACATTTAAGTTGGTCGCAAAGGATTCCGACATCATGATAACACGACTGTCAAGACCGGTCGAAACCTGTGAAAGCCCAGTCAACATGCAGGAAAACCAGTATCTCTATGACTCTATGCCAAAATAATAGAGTTTAGGCTTGCTAAAAACAACCCTGTGCATGAGTACCGAAATGCCGAAACCCTACACCCGCAACCTACAGCCGAGAAGGCTTGCCCGAAGTAACGCTTGAACCCTTAAAGTGCCGAAGCTGGCACTTGACGCCCAGCCCGGCCCAATCCCCCCAAAGCCACCCAATTCCTCGCAACCCTCTGACCTTACCTTTGGTTAGTAGGGAATAGAAGAATGGTAGTAATAGTAGTTATACTTATACCCCATTCCTCCATTCCCTACTAACCAAGGGTACGAGACTCCGAAGCCTGGCGTCACAAAACCCAGACCCTTAAGCCACAAAAAGCCCAAACCCCCTCTCTTCTTATCCAAGCAGAAAACCCCTAACCCAAAACCGCAAGCCCTCCCAACCAAAAAAGTATCCCGTAAAGACGTCGCCGGGCGGGCGGGCGCAGCAGACCGTCCCACTGCCGCCACTCGGGGTTGGGCCTCGGAGATTGGCCGATGAGCCTGGCTGCAGGGTTGCTTTGAAGCTACGGGATTTAGGGTTTAGGGTTTAGAGATTCAGGTTGAGGGTTTAGGGGTTAGGGGGTAGGGTTTGGAGATTAGGGGGTAGGATTTAAGGTTTAGGGGCCTTTCAGACTGGCCGGTGTGGTTTCAGGCTGTCTTGTTGCTGTTGGTGCGGTTTTTGGTCGTTTAGGAGAAACATCGCACGATAGCCATCAATTCTGACGTCGAGTTAGTGCGGTGTTGCAGGGTCTTGCTTCAGGGGTATCGGTGAATACGTCGTAGTTCCTATTTCTGCTTTAACTTTTAACCACGTTTGTATTTAGGATCCCAAACGGTAACCGGTAACCCAAAACAGGAACTGCAACGGGGACTATGAGTAAGCTACTGGAGGGACCAATCGGCCCTGACGTCAAGTCAAGTCGATCCACAGGTCGGCAGGGGTGAGCGGGTTTGTTGTAACTGTACGAGTAAAGGCATACTTGGTTCAAGGGTTTAGGGTTTAGGGCTCAATAGCCCTGATTTGGGGGCGTCAATTCGGAGGCAACGTCGGAGGTAATCGATTCTTCGGCGGGTTGTAATATGTGTCTTATCGAAATGAGATTGGGGATCATGAGAACGCATGCTGTTAGCTACAGGCTAAACTCGATTCAAAAGCTTGTGCTGCCTCCGCTAAACCCGTCCCTGCGAGATGGCCTTTTGTATCTGGCGAGCTTTCGCAGCTGCACCATGGCCCTTCCTAGTTACACATGGGCAAGAAACTAAAACCAGCGTGGTCCAGATATAGACAAGCCGTGCATGTGCAATTAAACTAAAGATGAATTAGCTGGCTTGGCGCAGTAGGAGAAGAGTGTTAAACAAATCTGGGTGCTTCACATTTTCCTTGTTGACTTGAACTCTGACTCGTGGAATGCATAGTATTTCATGCGCAGTGATATACCCGAAGTGCGGACCGTTCAAACCTTAAGGTGGGGGCCAAGGGGTCGTCTGAGGTTTCTTTCCCCTTCATCCTGCCGTTGCCTCGGCTTGAGCACCTGGCTAGAGAGAGGAAAAGAAAGATCCGACGTTTCGTGAGGTCTGCCGGGTGTTGGGAACCCTGGGTGGCGGCATGAGGCTGAGCAGGCCTTGTCTAGGAGTGTGTCATTGCAGTTTCGCTTCTCGGTAGCAACAACAGTGTTTCCTTCACTCCGTCAGCTCTACAGACTCTACAAAGCCTTGACAATTGCCATCGCAATCCTCATGAACACTTCTACCGCCAGCTGCTGATGTTGCAACTGCGACGTTGACTTCTTCGAATCCGTTCGATAACGACGACGATGGACAGAACCACACATTCTCATGAAGACCGAAGCTTGATTCCGGGATGCCCTGCTGTAAAGGAACCGAACCCCGGAATTCTCAACCCTACAAACCCTCAGCCCTAAACCCTAAACCCTAAGTCCTAAACCCTAAACCCTAAATCCTAAATCCTAAACCCTAAATCCTAAACCCTAAACCCCAAACCTTCAGCCCTGGAAACACTAACTGATAAAGCCTAGAGCCTTAACCCCTGAACCATGAAACCTGGAGGCCTAAATCCTAGACCCTACATGCCAGAAGCCCTATGAGCCCCAAACCCTATAAGCCCTACAGTAAACCCCATCAACTAGACCCAAGAGTAAACAAGGAACAAAAAGGGTGCCCTTTTTGGTTTAAAGGGGCTTATAAGGGGACCTGAACCCTAAAAAAAGGGAATAAGGGCCTACTCCAGGTCCTAGTAAAGTTGGAAACCGGGTTAAGGCCAAATAGTGCTGGGATTCCCTATACACTAGTCTTAAGGATTGAGGCTATGGGGTTTCTAGCTTTATAGCTTCTACTGTAAGCCCTATACCCTGAAGGCTGAGCTCTATAAACCCATGAGACCTAAACCCATAGGCCCCATAGTAGTTCCTTTTTGGGATTACCTTATAGAATTCTCAATATGAGCCCCAAACAAGAACTACTATGGGGCCTATGGATAAACGCGAAGTTGAACCCTAGGCCCCTAAGCACTGTAAACGCTGATGATCAGAAACCGTAAGCCCTGCCAACCTTAAGCCCTATGAACCCCTAAACCCTATAAATCCTAAACCCTAAACCCTAAAGCCTCAACCCTATATGCCCTATGAACCCCTAAATCCCCGACCTTCGACTTTTTACCCCACAGGGCTTCAGCGATAGATCGCGGCGCGGCATCAAAGAGTTCTGGCGTCCCCAAGCTTACCCAGACCACGTCTCGACGGTTCCTATAAGGTACCCTTCAGAAGTACAGGGTCCCGACTTAGGGTATCGACTTTTTCGATCTTTCCCAGGATCTTTGGGCCTGGTGCAAGTGCCTAAGCGTATCATGATGTAAACGGCTCTTTCAGATAGCGTGGCCGTGAGCAGGCAGATTGTATATTGTGCTAAACACAGCGGGCCCGCCCAAAGGGTCTCATTAATGAAGGGACATTGGTAGGTTCTGAGGCCTTAGACACAGCTTATACCTGCGGCATGGTCGGCGATGGCAAGGGCGCGGGGTGCATCGCGGAGATGTTTTTATGGCTGCGGGGTGTCAGGGTTTAGAGCTGTCGGGTTCAGGAGTTTAGGCATACTACAGGGACGTAATGATTAGAAAAGGGTTTTGGGGCCCTCTGTAATTACTATATTTTATGCTAAGGAACCCCCAAAAAAGGATTGGAAATTATTCAAGCCCTTACCTGGACAGTCCATCTACCCTCTATAAGACCCTGAATGCCCCTTATTTGGGACCATATACCCCTATTCGAGGGTACAAGGAGGGTCCTGGTATATTAGTCTGTTTGGGGATTTCGCAGGCTTCAAAGTTGATGCCTGGGGAACGCTCTTAAAAGAGTTTGGCGCCGTAGCCTGCACATTTGCTCGGGCCGGTCACCTGCACACTTCGGGGGTCTCCTGTCGCCTGAAATCCCAAAGGCCTAAGGGTTTAGGGTTTAGATTAGGGTTTAGGGTTACTTAGAACTTAGAACAGCCCTGAAGAGCGCAATTGTGAACTACACTTTTGCAGCCGTCGCCGTGTTGGTACTGGTGTTTGTCGTGGGCGGGCTAGGGGTGTTGGCACCGATGATGACAAGGGTAGTGGTGGTGGTTGTGGTGGTGGTGGTGGTGGCAAGGGCAGCGGTGGTAGTGAAGGTTGTAGTGGTGAACATTATATATGATGATGGTAGTTGTAGTAGTCGTCGTGGTCTTCGTCGTCGTCGTTGTTGCCTGCGTCGCAGTTGTGGTAGCAGCAGCAGCAGCAGCAGGCGTGGCAGTGGCAGTGGTAGTCTTAGTGGTAGTGGTTGTGGCAATGACAGTGGCAGTAGTGTAGTAGTGGTAGTAGTGGTAATAGTAGAAGTAGTGGTAGTTGTGGTAGTTGTGGTAGTAGTCTTAGTAGTGGTCGTCGTCGTTGTCGTTGTGTCGTAGTGTAGTAGTAGTCGCAGCAGTAGTGACAAGCAGTAGTGCTGAGGCCAGAATTAAAGCGTGTGGCCCCTGTCCAAAGCTCACTAGCAAGCCCGATCTCTTAGAATCAGCAAGGCGACCCCGGGATGGACTCATTAACATTAGCTCGGCCACTCGAGAGCTTCAGCATGGAAGTTGCTTTGCATTGGTGAGGCAAGAGCACCGCGGTGGGCGGTCTCGGGTGTCTGAAGCTGGAGAGTTAAGGTAGTTAGGGTCGCGTGCAGGGCATTCCCTATAGGCTGTTCACAGGGCATATTCTACCACCGCGCAGAGACAGCGCACTTGTTGACATGCAAAGAAGCTCTGCTGGCTGAGACCTGGCTGTACTTGTTTTTGCTCTCACGTGATGAGATTAAGGCTATAAAGGTTTAGGGTCGTAGGGTGTGGGGTTCAGGGATCAAGGGATAATAGGGCTTTTCGGGCGTGTAGGGCTTAGACGGCTGAGGGCTTACCGGAGTTGTTGTTTAATTTAATTGACCTTGGCGAGATCTTTCTCAGCCTGCGCGTCGCGCACGCGGATGTGGGCCACGGAGGCCGCAAAGGTAACCTCAAGTTTAGGGCTTAGGGCTTATATGGTTACGGGGTTCAGGGTTTAGGGTACCGCATTTAGGGTTCAGGGTTGTTTGGAGCAAGTACTGAAGAAACTTCGGCATCTAGGGTAACGGGCTTCAGTCCCTAAACCTCCTAAGTCCCAGGTCTTAGTCGAGTCTTTGGGGTTGAACAAGTGCCGCAAGAAAGTTCACGTGCTAGAAGGCCCTCCACCCTCCGAAGGATGGTGAATCGTTTTTCTGGGTTTGGGGGATCAGGATTCAGGATCTACGGGACTTAGGAAAAGGATGCCCAGTAACCTAGCAATAGAAAGGGCTCCCTTTTTGGTGTTGGATTGCTTTCTAGGGAACCTTGGACTACAAAAAGGGAATGAGGTTACTGCTGGGCATCCTAGTCTACGGTTTAGAGATTCAGGTTTAAGGTTTAGGGTTTAGGTAGTAGGGTTTGGAGGTTAGGGAGTAGGGTTTAAGGTTTAGGCTTTCGGGATTAAGGTCAACGGGTTTAGGGTTTGATTATTGCTGCAACTTTTGGAGGTATGAAACATAGATATTCCAGGCACTACTATAGCTTTTTTTGCAGTTAGTCGTGTAGTAGAATTGGTTCATTACGTATTGCGATACTTACTGTTGTAGATATTCTGTAGAGGTGTTACGTATAGGCACTATGGCTGGTGACAGCTCAAAGCTTTTCAGCTTGTCAGCTTCGTTGTAGAGGCTTGCATGTGCTTCAAGAGGCTTAGTAGCTTGGGGCTTACAGACTCCTCAACCCGACTCGTGACTCTGGAAATCGAAGCCCTAACCCTGCTAAAGCTACAATCAGCAAAACACCAAACTCTAACTCCTAAACCCTAAACCCTAAACTCTAACTCCTAAACTCAGAAACCTAGATCCCAGAAGCCATGAACCAAAGCCCTTCAGCCCTGAAACCCAGAAGGCTCCCAGAAAACTTTAATAACAAGCCCTTCAATCTTACTTAAAGGATCATGGGACTTAGTAACTAGGGTTCCTTAAAGGGCTCCTTAAAGGGATCTATAGGGGTTCCTTAAAGGGATCTATAGGGTTTAGGGTTTAGGGTCTACTTAAAGGATCATGGGACTTAGTAACTAGGGTTATAATTAGGGTAACTATACTTATAACCCCAATTAGGGTACTTATAACCTCGCCCTTACTTACTAAGTCCCATGATCCTTTAAGTAAGCACCAGAACGCACAGCCCAGCAATCCAAAACCTCAGAGAAACCTGAGGCCCCTGCAGTCTTGAACAAAGCCCTACAACCCTGTACACGAAAGCCTGCAGCTCTTCAGCCCCGACAACCTGCAGCCCCTTAGCCTATCCACACAGACAATTGAACCAGAAACCCAAAAGCCTAAGGCAAAGATAACTGTACATGTGCAAAAAGATTTAACACATACCTATTACCTAAGTATGCATGTATGTAAACATATACACACACGAATACTGAGGTCCCTGAAGCCTAAACCCAAACGAGGAACAGACCAAACAAGACCCCAACAGCCGTATCGACTATGCATGCTGCATCGTCAGGGGAGACCCTAGTGCCAAACTGTAAGAACATGGATGGTTTACACGATCATGTTAGGGTTTAGGGTTTTGGGTTTTTTGGAGGATCATGGGACTTAGTAAGTAGGTTATAAGTACCTGAATTGGGGTCATAAGTATAGTTACCCTCATTATAACCCGAGCT